TTTCTTCCCTCCCGCCTTTCCCACCTGTGCATGCTGTGTCTTCTCCGTCTTCTTCCTCCATATCTCATCTTTCTTCTTCAGCTGTGGGCATTCGTAACTTGCCATGTCAGCACGGTGACACGTCAGCAGGTCACATCAGCAGTAACATATCAGCAGTGACATGTCAGCAACACATCAGCAGGTTACCGTGACATCTCAGCAGGGTTCCGTGCCACGTCAGCAGCAGTTCGGTTCCACATCAGCAACAGCAGTATATGCCAGTTACTAGGTCCTTGACCAAGCCAATGGAGCAAAAGGACTAGTAGTCCGAGGCAGAATACAAAGATTGGGAAGAGAGTAGATGCGGCCATTGCCGACCGTGAGAAGACGGAGAGGGAAGCGGAGGAAGAGGTCAGCTGGCTGCCGAAGAGCAGCAGGCTCACAAGGATGCAGCACGCCAGGCTGCAGATGAGGCAGGACAAGTGGGCCAGAAGGAGGAGGCCGAAGTCTTGACCTTGGCCACCATGCACAAGTTTTCCACGGGAATCAAGCGAATTACGGACCTGGTCCCCACTTCCCAGGTCCATCAAGACGACATCTTCGCGCTGTACCAGGCTGTGCAGCAGCTGACCGCATGAGTTCACCATTTGGAACAGCGGCCAGCTGCACCAGCCACGGCTGGCCCCTCCAACATTCCTGACCGCATTACAGCATTGGACATGGATGCCGACACTGCTCGGCAGCAGCAAGCAACAAATCAGCAACTTCAGACCGCCGACAGGCAGCCGGAGCAGCAGGTTCGTGCGGCAGCAACAGCAGGTCCAGCCTCGTCACCCTCCAGCCGACCACTCAAGTTGGACGACATCTCGGGGTCTTTTGTGATTCGTCGAAGACCGATCCAATCCCATGGTGGCGGCAGTTTACCTTGTGCTTGGATATGCACAAGGTGCTGCCCAACAACCGGCATGCTTGTCTTTATCACCGGTCAGGCGGTGCATGTCAGGCATGGCTTGACAACATCCTGTCCACCCACAAGGTGGCTGTCTTCGAGCTGCACACGAAGATCAGCTGGGATGATCTCACTTCCGAATGGCACACACGGTTCCACGTGGAACCGCCCGAGCTCAAGGCAATGGAGCAGCTGCAGAAATTCCATCAGAACTCCATGCCCAGCACGAAATGGATCGCCGAGTTCCAACGCTTGGAGTTCACGCCCGAACTAGTGCTGTTCAAGGACTGAACTTTGTGCTTCTTTTTTTTTTTTTCCTTCTTGTCATGGGACAGCGGGGAGTCTCTTTTTTCGTCTATGAATACTGCAAAGTGTCCCCCAACCCTTCCCCAAATACCCCTTCCAACTCCTGACGAAATCCCCACCTCCCCAATCCCATTACATTCCCCCCAAACAAGTGCTCAGAACCCCAACCAGCCCCCCGGAACCCCCGACCAGCCCCTCAGAACCCTATACAGCCCCTAAGACCCAAAACAGGCCCATCCCCTCATTGGACAGCAGGGAGTCTCTCTTTCCGTCTATAAAATCTGCGAAGTGTCCCCCAACCCTTCACCAAACACCCCGTCCAACTCCCAATGGACCCCCCAACCTCCCAATTCCATTACATGCCCCCCAAACAGGCGCTTAGAACCCCCAGCCAGCCCCCAAGAGCCCCCAACCAGCCCCTCAGAACCCCCAAACCTCCCAATTCCGTATTATAAAGCTTCCCACGTTCATGAAATTGAGCACAAGTTGCCCACATCCCCATGTGCCATAATGGCCCACTTGTACACTGTGAAGAAGAGGCAGAGAAAAGGGGAAGGGGATAAACAAAGGAGAAATATGGAACGAAGACTAAGGAAAACAAAGGAAAACAACCGGGAATAAGGGAAAAGAAAGGAGTGTGGAATCACGATGGAATCAAGAAAGCATAGGAAAAGATAAAAAGGCTCAAGAATCAATGTCCTTGACGACAACAAGGAGGACATACATTGTACATATGAGATGGCTGAGGACATGTAAGACCTAGCTGAGCATTCCGAGTACAACAATTACCATGACGGCTGGCGTTGAGCATGCCCATCAAATATCCCGACAAATGGCGTGTCGATTGCAGGCCAACATGAAGGAAGAATGGGCACCACAAAAGTCCATACATTCCGCACAACGCCCATGGCCACAATGGACAGTGTGTGCAGAGGCGAAGCTGGCTGCCGTCAGTAAAGGAGGGACAGTCATCTGCAAAGTGGACGCTGAAACCGTGTCATCGAAGTGACTGTGACAGTGACAATCACGGCCGCAGCCAAGTGTAACTGTGTTTGTAGTTATGTGTAGAAGAAGGTCACAGAGTGTTGATACATTGTCCTGCTGCAGCGCACGGGACGAGAAATGATCTTCGACATAAAAGTGTGTGCGAACGGTTTGGTGTGGCAAGAAAACAGCATCGTTCTGTAAGAAATAAGCAACATCAGTAATGGCATGGACCATGGTGTCGTTGTTCCATAGGCCCCAGTGGTCAGAGGCATGTACAATGGCCATGGAAGTGCAGGATCTGTGTACAATGCAGGCAGAAACCACTAACCTGCTTGAGCATTGCATAGTTCAAGTTGGCGGACCCTCGTGGCTAGTTGTAGGACCACAATTGTAAAGCCTCCTTCCCTGGTTTAATCACAACCCTTTGCCTGTAGGCAGGGAAAATCAACATCAAGCAGAGGAGCAATTTCAAGAAACTCCGACGCTGTATAAAGGGGACAGCGGAGAACCTGCAGACAGATATTGATTGGTTGTGGCCAGACCACAGAGAATGGAGGGGATCTCAGGCTGGGGTGTCAGATGTTGGCCAACAACTTGCAGATCATCCCGATTGTGTTGCAAGCCCAAAATGTTTTAGGCTGTTTGCTGGTCAGTCATTTGTAGATCATCTAGGTGGTCTACATCCTATGGGGCAGAAACTTGATGCTGGCCAGCCACTTGCAGATCACCCATATGGTCTACGCCTTGTGGGGTAACTTTGAAGTGCATGTAAATCATGTTCTAATTGTTGGATAGCCGGGGCTGCATCCTGCCTGGGGACTGCCCCTTGAATTGGGACTGTCGCCTGGATGGGGACTGTCTCCATTTGTGCAGGTAACTCATGAAGCTTCGATGCTGCAGGGCGCAAGACACGGTCTACTGGCTGACCGCAGGAAGTCGACTCTTTGGAGGGGGCATAAAAGCGGATATTGTGATTTGGAACAAAGGGACAGCAACAACCTGTGGAGCAGGCACAGAGAAAATCGGGACAAAAAATGTGACTGTCGAAGAGACTCTTATGTTCTTTGCATTTGAACTGCCACAGAGAGGGAATTCCAGTTGTGGAAACTCCTGCCGTGAAAGCTGCAGTAGAGGAAACTGTAGCAACGCTTCACCCCTATGTCACTGTCTGAGCGCAGTGAGCGTGTGAGCGCGTTTCGCTTGTGCGCTGAGCCCCAGGTAGCGCGCACTCAATCGACCTCAATCCTGTTTGAGCATCCCCCGTGGAAAACAAACTGACCGCGCATGGCCCAGGGTTGAGCGCTGTCACAGGTTGACGCGCCACGGCAACAGGAGTTGACTATGGCAGGTGTCCCGCTCTGCAAGGAAAATAAGCAAGAGCACGATGACAAACCCAGATCACACCATCACATTGCAAGTCAAATAGTCACACCGTGTCCAGATAGCAGCCTCGCACCAATAATACACCAATGGAGTTTCGTAGCACTGAAAACCAATGTCCGTGGAGAGCACACTCTCTCCTCTCAACACAAGAGTCCAGTTCCCTTACACTCACACTTGGCGCTCAGCGCCCAGCCTACTTCTACACAGCTACTACAGACTACAAAAAGACAATGC